ATTTTTCACTTCATTGCACTGTGATCCCTTTTGCAGAAAGGGTTTTGGTTTTGGTGAATAAAAACATTTAGGTAAGTGTTGTCACAAATATTGCTAGCCAGCTGTTCTCAAGATCAAAGGCCCAACCCTGCAGAAATATTCTTAATGCTCTCAAGATCCTGCCTCTTTCATGTTTCTTAAAGTTAATGCACGTCCTTAAATACACATTTCTGTTCCTGTTCACTGTTAGTTTACTGCATAGGATGGTCCCTCCACAGTGGATGGTCCTTGTCATACAGCAAACCAGCAAATAGCTTGGATTTTACTCCCTTTCCAATTGATCAGTAAGTCTTGTTTGTAATGGGAAAACTTGGTCGGGCGGAGTTGGAAATGCAGCCAAACCACAGCCAGATAAGCGCTTCTCATTTTCATTTACCCAAGTTCTGTAGTTCACCTCTTGAATCTCCTAGTTCAACTAAATGTAGCCATTAGTAATCTGAAAGTTATTTTATTCCGTGTGCCCTTTTTTGTATCAACTTGTTCTTAAAGCATGTTGAGAAGGTCAGAAACACAGAATTTGCTCAGTTTTGTTGTTCATACTTTTATTTCAAAGATGCCTATCAGGCTTGACTGCTTTTTAAAATGTCCAAATATTATATGCATCTCGCAGTAAACTCACTTTCTGGCTTTCAGGTAGCATTGACAACGTTTGCTGTATATGTCTCGGTGGATGAGAAGAATATCCTGGATGCAGAAAAAGCTTTTGTCTCCCTCTCCTTGTTTAATATCTTAAAGTTTCCCCTCAATATGCTTCCACAAGTCATCAGCAACATTGCACAGGTAAGGAGGATCTGGTGCATAAGTTGTTTTGAACAACTTGAACAAAAAGAACCCCAGATGTCCCTGATTTCTGGAACGCAGAGATGCCTGTCAGCTGGTTTTCTTTCTAATATCCTTTTTCTACCGCTGCCCTGTATTGGAAAGCCTGACATCTTCTGAGTAAGCTTGTCTGTGTGAATTTTGCTTCACTCAGATGAACTCATCTTGGTCTGAGAAATTTCAGGGTTAAAAGCTTGAATTTCAGCATAACGCTGATTGCAGGGAAAGAATGAGTCACTGTTCAGGAAGCCCATGGGGTGAAAAGTTAAGCCATTCTGCATGCTTTCCTTTGCAGTAGTAAGAGCATTAAGTCCCCATTAAAAGAATGATAAAATAACATAATGCTGTGCTCTTTCCTTAGACAAGTGTTTCCCTAAAGAGAATTCAGCAGTTCCTGAGTCATGATGAACTTGATCCAAATTGTGTGGAAACAAAAGCGATTGCACCAGGTAAAGACATCAGGATTTTTCTAAACTATGCTAATACAACAAACATATTGTATTTGTTTTGGACTGGTTGAGTTATGAAAAAAAGCAAAAAGAAAATAACAATAATAGTCTTGGGTTTAAAAAAAAAAAAAGCTGCTCCTTTGAAAAGTATGTGTTTGTTGCTCAGGCTGTGTGGAAATTACAAAAGTTTCTGGCTATATTTTTGAGATTTGAGCTGAGTTATTCGGGCCTGAGTTTGCATCTGCAATGTATTGGATGCTAACAGCACTGAATGATGAAGTGCACCCGCTGACTAGGGACAGTGAGACCTGCTCAAACCTTTTGCGCTCCACAAATGCTCAGGATCGTTATAAACAGTTTTGACTTTTTTCTGTTGGAAATAGTATCCCAAAACAAATGAGCAAACCAGGTGGTCTCAGAAAAATGTGTTTTCTCGTGTAATGCACTTTGGTGATACTGTGGTTTGAAACCTCTCTTGTGTGTGATGCTGTAGACAGAGGAGGAGGAGGGATGGCTGTGTGACTGGCATGTGATTACTGCTATACACCACTCCACCAGGAGGTAAAGGAAGCCTGCAGATCTGTAACTTGTTAGTGTGGCAAGCAAAAAGCTGCACAGAGGCAAATTTAATCTGGTACATCAAAGTCAACAGCATGCAGTGGTCTCCTACTGACTTGAAAGTGATTTCTTAAGTAAAGTTGCGCTAACAGTTGCACAGAGATTCTGAGCAGCAAATGTTGGGACCAGCCTCACTGGGGCAGGGTGAAGCAGGACAGCTTTTCAGCTCCATAGGTCTGTAAGCTCACTGTTTATAGTTTAAGCTGTGATCAGTTATTTTCACTCTGAATAAGCCTGTCTTGTGACCGACAGTCATGAGACTGCGCTTACCATGCCAGTAGAAAAGGGAACTGCAGTGTACGTGAAACACCATAAATAAAGATTCCTCTGTCTGCCAGTCTCTCAGCCGTACTATTCTGTGTAATACATTTTCTGCCTTCTCTATTGTTGCGTTTTTGTCATACAGGCAATGCCATCAGTGTAACAAATGCGACGTTCAGCTGGGGAAAGGAGCTTAAGCCATCTTTGAAAGAGTAAGATTTCTTTATGCAACTGCAATACAACATCTACCTGCTTCCTGGTTTCTGGCTCCTAGGAGGCCTGTTTGAAAGAGGTCTAGTAATATCTGCAAGCTCACTTCTGGAAAAGGTTGTTGCCACACATCCCTCTTCTGCCTTTAAAACATTGAGCTAATCCTCATGCCTTATGGTATTTAGGCTTTACAGAACAGTGCTGTAAGGGTTTAACTCTACAGCAACTAGCATAAAATAGTTACCTATGAAAGGACAGAAAGGCTATGTAAATTTCTTAAATAGACTATTTTTTTAACTGAAGCATTGGCCAAATTGATCTGATGGATTATGAGGACAGTTGAGATGTCTGGGTTTGGACTTGGGCATGTGAACAGTGGTCTGTTCTTTTAAGAGTCCTGTGGCAGACTCACCCTTGCGGCTGTACATGGCCATTTCCAGACTATGGGGGGGCATGTTTTGCTCATTTGCCTGTTTGAATGAATACAAACAAAATATGCCTGGAAGCATGTACCTTCTTATGTTATGCTTTGTTGTCAGATCAAAATCACAGAAACGTGATACGTATGCTTAGAATTCTCAGTCCAAGGAGCTCGTGCTGCTGTGCTGAGTGTGTCATGTTAACAGGTTATAAATTATAGTGCTTTTGAGTTTTCCTGCTTTGAATGTGTTTTTAAAACAAACAAAAAAACTTCTTGCAGTGCTCAAAACATCAACTACCTGCTTGGTAATAATCTGCATGAGAATTAGAGCCCTAGTTCTGCATCAGGATTTGTGCAAACAGAAATTTGGCTTGATTTCATTAGTGAAAGACACTTTGAGGCAAAGAGACTATGTCCATCAGTCATTTCTGTATCAGCTCACCTTCAAAACCAGGACCTAAACCAGTACCTTTAAGAACATAGTGGGGGAAACAGTAAAGGATTTTAATTGGGAAAGTTTTGTTTTTCTTCAGTTGTTGTGAACCCTATTTACTAGCACTGGCAATATGGTACTAAAGTGGTTTGAACACTTTTAGATGGGATGTATTCACTCACTACTTTTGTACAATTGCTCTTGGTTTTAAAATTAAAAACCAAAAGACTTCTGGAAGACTGTCTGCTTTCAAAATGCTTATTAACCATGTTTGACTTGCTGATGGACTGATACAACACAGCAAAGGTCTTAGAAGGCTTGCTACTAATCCTACCAATTTAACAACCAACAAGATAGGTTAATGCTGGGTTTCCATCTACTCCTACAGTTCTGGTTACAGCTAATTGTACACAAGAAAGGGAGGAGAAGACCAGTGACCAAGCTATGCTTACTATATCCAGTCAGGCTGAGGTCAGGCTGATTTGCCACTGTGTATTTCAGCCCTGGTTTAAAGACCCATAATGTCTTTAGTAAACTAATGTTTAATTAATTTCCAGCCTGTTTCCTCCACAGTATAAATCTGTTGGTCCCCAGTGGTGCTTTGGTTGCCATTGTTGGCCATGTTGGCTGTGGGAAGTCTTCTCTGGTGTCTGCTCTCCTGGGTGAAATGGAAAAGCTGGAAGGAGAAGTGGCTGTGAAGGTTGGTGTTGTTTACGATGCCACTTAATGATGGTATGGAAATGTGCTGCTTATGCCTGCCATTGCTTAAAATGTACATCAGGCTGGAGAGGGAATTCTGTTTGCTCCTATGCCAGCTTGTCTGTGTGTTTATTTGGGTTTGCCCACACCTGTTCAGTTGTGTTTTATATGAAGAGACTTTCACGATTCTATCAACTATACATCAGCAACTAGCACACGTATATGTATAATGTGAATGTATATCAAACAGGAGCTATATCTATGTGCTGCAGATCTTAGTCAGAGTTGTAAGCGTGAATTGCTGCTTGGTACAAGTCAGAGGTTTCTTTTCTCTCTCCCTCCTTGTTCTAGGGTTCTGTTGCTTATGTGCCTCAACAAGCCTGGATCCAGAATGCCACGCTGAAAGATAACATTTTGTTTGGCCAAGCTCCCAATGAACAAAAATACCAAAATGTCCTGGAGGCCTGTGCTTTAAAAACTGACCTGGAAGTGCTGCCAGGAGGAGATCAGACTGAGATAGGAGAGAAGGTAATTTTTTTTTTTTTTTTGGGGGTCAGACCTGCTTGGTAATTCCTGTTCTGTCTAGCTAAAGCAAGAATGCTGTAAAGACAGCACTTGATTTGGTTTGATCTTTACAATGACATTC